TCTTCCAACAACTCTATGTATTTGATTAGATCATTCATTTACATTGACTATTTATCAATAGGTAAGGACTTACTAATGCCATCTTATCAATTGTTTTTCTGGCTGTTTTGTAGTTTCCTCATTTTTTTCCTTTCTGATTTCCTTTAGGAATTGATAATTTTCTATAGTGGTATGCCTTAATTTCCTTTTCTTTGTGTGTGTGTTTGTCTACTGTAGGTTTTTGCTCTGTGGCTGTTATAAGGCTTACATAAACCATCTTATAGATAGAAGTTTATTTTATGGTGATAAGAACTTAAATTTCATTGCATATAAAAAGTGTACTCTTTATTCCTCTCTCACATTTTGTTTTTGACGTCACTTTTTACATTGTATGTGCATTAAAAATATTTGTTATATTTTTATGACTTTTGTCCTTTAATTTTTTATACTTGATCTAAGTGGTTAACACACCACTATATTGCAATATTAGAGTATTCTGAATTTGACTACTTAACTTTACCAGTGTGTTTTCTATTTTCATGTTTTTATGTTACTAATTAGCATTCTTACATTTCAGCTTGAAGTCCAATGTCTGGGCATGCACAAAACAGTTTCTTTTAATTTCTTTTCTTGTGTGACTGAGTCATACTTTTGTTTCTTTGCATTCCTTATAATTTTGTTGAAAACTTGCATTTAAGATAGTATAAAGTGGAACTTTGGAAATCAGATTCTCCTCATTTTTTAGAGTATGTTTTTGCTGTTTGTTGTGGGTTATAACTCGCTTAGTGACTTTCTCAAGCTAATTTTGTAAAGGCTGTTTCCATTATCATGTGTGATCAATGTAGTCTCTCTTCCATTAGCTTAGTTATCATATTGCGGTTTGACAGAGATTTCACCAATGTCTAGTGCTAAAAGAAAGAAAAGAGGAAAAGAAAAAGAAAGAGGAAAAGAAAATTAATTATTCTCCCATCATTTGCAGATTTGCTGTTAGTTGTGACACTCCAACTCTTAACCAAGTCATTTACTACTCTTTTACCTTCACTTTCTGTTCATGCAGAGCCAGAGGAGATAGCTTATGGTCTTTATTCCACACACGTTTCCTTATTTTTTTTCTCAGGTTCTCCTCATGCTTTCGGTCTTTCTATTGCTTATCCCATTATCCCAGTCTGCTATGGTCAATACTTTTGGTTTTAAATACTGTATGATTCTCACTGAAATTTGCCAATTAGAAAAACCTAAATGGAATTTGGAAGACAAAAGTGAAGCAGATAAAGTTAATCTCAGGAGACACCAGTGAACAGATAAAGACTCTGCAGACCTCCCCACTAGCTCTAACTACATATTTAGGGCAACTAGGGCACTAACTTCTCAGACATATGCATGATCTTTGGCTTCTCTACCCACCATGGACCTTTAGGATGTAGCTTTTTTAGTAACTGTTCTTATGATCCACCGGCCTTTCATACATTTCACTGCTCGAACTCCTTTCCAGCTCTTGCCTTAATTTACATAATTCTTACTCTTGAATAATTGTATGTATATGTTTCCTGATATATACTGATCATTACAATCCCTCAGAATACTACTATTTACATGCTTTCAAAGTCTAACAATGTCAACCAGAATGACTGTATTGGTTCAATGGGCCATTTGTCCTACATTTCATCTCAATGAAAGGGAAATTTTGACCTTTCAAAATATAGTAAAGGAACTCTGATGCTTAAAAATATTGAATAGATAAGGAGCGCCTGGGTAGCTCAGTCAGTTGAGCGTCCAACTTTGGCTCAGGTCATGATCTCACGGTTTGTGGGTTCAGACTCTGTGTCGGGCTCTGTGGTAATAGTTAGCTCAGAGCCTAGTGCCTGTCTTCATATTCTGTCTCTCTGTGCCTCCCCTGCTTGCACTTTCTCAGAAAATAAATTAAAAAACATTAAAAAAAATTTTAAAATATTGAATAGGTAAGACAACTGGATATCTACATGGAAAATTATGAAGTTGGACCCCTACCTCACACCATATATAAAAGTCAATTTAGAGGCGACTGGGTAGCTATCAGTTAAACATCCCACTTCTGTTCAGGTCATGATCTCAGAGTTCATAGGTTAGGGCCCCACATAGGGCTCTGTGCTGACAGCTCATAACCTGGAGCCTGCTTCAGATTCTGTGTCTCCCTCTCTCTCTCTGCCCCTCCTCTGCTCATACTCTGTCTTTCAAAAATAAATAAATGGTAAAGAAAAATTTTTTTAAAAAGTCAATTCAAAACAGATCAAATACTGCAGGAATTATAAATATAAACTACTTGGAAGAAAACATAGGTAGAAGTCTTCATAACATTTAAGCAATGGTTTCTTAGATACAACACCAACACAAGCAACCTCTTCCCAAAATAAAGTTTCACTAAAACTTTTAAAGGTTGTGCGTCAAGGACAATGTCAAAAAAAATGAAAAGATAACCCGTAAAATATTTGCAAAGCATATACGTGATAAGGGTGTAATATATCTATCATATGTAAATTATTCTTAAAGACAACTTCCCAATTTAAAAACATGTATAGCATTTGAATATATTTTTTCTCCAAACAAGATATACCTATGGCCAACAAACACATGAAATATCATTAGTCATTAAAGAATGCAAGTCAAAAACACAGTGACATACCACTTGACACCTGCTGGGATAGCTATAATAATAAAAAAAAAAAGATGGAAAATAACAGCTGTTAATGAGGAAGTGGAGAAATTGAAATACTTGTCTATTACTAGTGGGCATGATTCTTATGCTACTGCAATCTCACCCCAATACATGTACCCAAGAGAACTGAGAATGTTTGTCCACAAAACACACACACACACACACACACACGTGTGCACACACACACACACACACACCAAAAAACCAAAACTCAAAAGCTTGTAAATGCATTACTTGAATAGCTTAAAAGTAGGAGTCCAAAGAATTTCATACGATGATTTCATATATCATACAATACTTCATGATATTATTATAATACAACAATGAAGTATTATTCAGCCATAAGAAGGACTCATGTAATGATACACATTACAACATGGACAGTCTTGAAAACATTTTCACAGAAGAAAGGTAGACATGAGAGGCCACATATTGTATGATTTCATTTATGTGAAATGCCCAGAATAAGGATAAACACTGAGATAGAAATTACAGTGCTGGTTTCTAAGGGGTGGGGATGTGAAGTGCTAAAGGGTTTGGGGTTGCTTTGTGGGGTGATGAAATTGTTCTGGAGTTAGTACTGACAGGTTTTACAAAATTATGAATACATACAAAGTGACTTAATTGTGTACAATTAAGGTGTCAGTTTTATGGCGTGTGAATTATACATAAATAAAATGAACAAATATCCATTATATTTACATTGAATTCAGGAAAACATTCTGACTGATCCTAGCCTGCAAGACCTTGGAGATATGGAGTCCAGTCTCTACTACAATAGAAGTGATGTTGACAGCAAATGTAACACCTGGAATAGAATGTATTTTAGATACTTTTCAGGTGAAATGAGCATATTTTAACTAAAATTATAGGGGCGCCTGGGTGGCTTAGTCGGTTAAGCGTCCGACTTTCGCTTAGGTCATGATCTCGCGGTTCGTGGGTTCGAGCCCCGCATCGGGCTCTGTGCTGACTGCCAGCTCAGAGCCTGGAGCCTGTTTCAGAGTCTGTGACTCCCTCTCTCTGACTCTCCCCTGCTCACGCTGCCTCTCTCTCTCTCCTAGAAATAAATAAAACATTAAAAAAATAAATAAAATAAATAAAATTATAGTGTGACTTTCAGGGAAGCACTAGGTCTCCTGCCTCCACATTATAAGATGTCAGTTCATCATCATGTACCATTGTAATTGTTACCTTGAATTAACAGGCACAAAGGACACTCTTTCTTTACATTCATAAAGCACTTTGTACCTCTTAATTTTACGTTGTAAAAGTTTCAGAACCCCTTTGCCATACATCCTCCAAATTTTTTACTGAGTAAAGGGATGAAATGTAAATTAAATATATAAATTGATTTAAAACACACGGAGGGAAAAGTTGTAGGGAAAAAACTTACAAGAAAATCAAAATGAGAGGTGCCTGGGTGGCTCAGTTGGTTAAGTGTCCGACTTTGGCTCAGGTCACGATCTCACAGGTTGTGTGTTCAAGTCCCACATCAGGCTCTGTGCTGACAGTTCAGATCCTGGAGCCTGCTTCAGATTCTGTCTCCTTCTCTCTCCATCCCTTCTCTGCTCACACTCCCTTTCTCTCTCTCTCTCAAAAACATATAAACATTAAAAAAAAAAATTTAGGGGCACCTGGGTGGCTCAGTTGGTTGACTGTCTGACTTTAGCTCAGGTCATGATCTCACGGTTTGTGGGTTTAGGCCCCACATCAGACTCTGTGCTGACAGCTTGCTCAGAGCCTGGAGCTTGCTTTGGATTCTGTGTCTCCTTCCCTCTCTGCCCCTTCCCTATTCATGCTCTCTCTCTCAATAATAAATAAATGTAAAAAAAATTTTTTTAATAAAAAAAATAAATCTCTAGCAAAGTTGAAAAAGAACCATGAACCATAGAGCTTGTTACCATAATCCCAAATTGGGATTTTGATAGCCTTTGAAAAATTCCTTTCCTACTAAAATCCTTAAATCATATCTATTGTCTGATAAAACTTCCTACACATTTTCATGAAATTACCATAAAAATGTCACAGGCAATATATCTAAACAATATTTCACACTTTCAAAAACATATTGTATAAATAATCCTACATGTGAGCAAGAAAGGACATGCAGTTATTAGCACAAGGAAAATTGTCAGCTTTCCCAACCAAGAAGTGAGAAACTTTGAGTAAACATTCAGTGTTGAATTTATTTTTTGTTTGTTCATTTAACTTGAGAGAGAGAGGGAGGGAGGGGCAGAGAAAGGAAGAGACAGAATCCCAGGCAGGCTCTACACTGTTAGCACAGATCTGATGTGGGGCTCGAACTCAGAAACTGACCATGACCTGAGCCAAGATCAAGAGTCCAACACTTAATCGACTGAGCCACCCAGGTGCCCCATTCTGACTTCATTTTTCATTATTTGACTATTAACAGCTTCAAATCACCCATCCGTCCTACCATTCTACCAATTAGGTAAGCTGATTAGATAGCCTATGTACTCTTTCTATGGCACTGGTGGAAAGTTTAAGCCACATTCAGTACCCTCTCCTCAGTTCCGCTATAAAAGCCTCATACCAACAAATCTGGATAAGACAGTCCTTAACACATTAATCTTGATGACTTAGATCGTAGTTTTACATCCACTATATGCCACCCACGCTGTCATTCAAATTTATATTGTATTGTATTATAAATTCACTGTTCTTGTTCTTGCAGGAAACTCTGGACACGGATGAATGTCACCTAATGAAGTTTGCCCTTTTATCTTATTCAACCCTTCCAAGAGATTTTCATGGTGAAATGAAAGGATTGCAATGAAGGTATAACATGAACAGATTTCAAAGCTCAGGATGAAAATCATCAACAGTAACTTGGCTTTTTCATAGATAGCCTTGTAACTTAGTCACTATAGGTATTACTATTTTGATTTTTAACTAATCACTATTAACATTTAGAATTTAATTGAATAATCTTTCAGAAGAACTTAGAGATTGTTTTCTCTACTATGAATTATCTGATGTATAGCCGATTGTGAGAAATTTTTAAACAATTTATCAATCACATCATTCCATTTTTAAGGTTTTTCTACAATATCAATTCTTTGATGAATCTTGAGGTCAGACCATTGTCTAAAGGACTTGCCATCTTTAATACATTTGTATGTTTTAAACCTTAGTTTACAGTTGAAGAAACCTTAGTAAACAGTTGAATATCTGATAGAAGTTTAACATATTCATTATATTTATGTGGTTTCTCTAGTACAAGACATTACATATGCTTGATCTTTGGATAAAAGCCTTGCCATGTCCATTACATTTTTGTGGTTTCTTTCAAAGATGCATATTCTGGTGTCTAATTAAATGGGAACCCTGCAAATATATGCCTTTAATATGGTTTCTATTCAGTATGGATTCTTTGATATTAAGTCATGAACACACATTAAAGGTTTTACCATACACATTACATTTGTGAGGTTTCTCTTCACTACAAATTTCTCTGATGATCCCCACTGCTAGATCTTTGGATAATAGCATTTCTACATATGTTGGATTTACAATGTTTCTATTCAGTATGCATCTTCTGATGTCTAGTAAGGTTTGCAAATTGGGTAAAGGCCTTGCCACATTCATTACATTTGTAAGGCTTCTCTCCAGTATGGATTCTTTGATGTCGGACAAGACTTGAACACACGTTAAAGGCTTTGTCACACTCATTACATTTGTAAGGCTTCTCTCCAGTATGAATTATCTGATGTATGACAAGGTTAGAAGACTGGTTAAAGGCTTTGTCACATTCTTTACATTTGTAAGGCTTTTCCCCACTATGGATTCTCTCATGTTGCGTAAGGCTTGAACGCTCCATAAAGGCTTTGCCACACTCATTACATTTGTAAGGCTTCTCTCCTGTATGAACTCTCTGATGAATTATAAGATTTGAATATTGACTACAGACCTTGCCACACACATCACATTTATATGGTTTCTCTCCGGTATGGATCCTCTGGTGTCTAATGAGATGTGAGATGCGGTTAAAGGATTTGTCACACTCATTACATTTGTAAGGTCTCTGCCCAGAATGAATTCTCTGATGATTGGTGAGATTTGAGCTTCCTCTAAAAGTCTTTCCACACTCATTACATTTATAAGGTTTCTCTCCAGAATGGATTCGTTTATGTCGAGTAAGGCTTGAATACTCAGAAAAGGCCTTGCCACACTCATTACATTTGTAAGGTTTCTCTCCCGTATGAATTTTCTGATGCCGTGCAAGATTTGAATTTTGACTACAGCCCTTGCCACATATATTACACTTGTATGGTTTCTCTCTGGTATGGATTCTCTGATGTCTAGTAAGTTTTGCAAATTGGGTAAAGGCTTTGTCACATTCTTCACATTTGTAAGGCTTTTCCCCACTATGGATTCTCTCATGTTGGGTAAGGCTTGAACGCTCCATAAAGGCTTTGCCACACTCATTACATTTGTAAGGCTTCTCTCCTGTATGAACTCTCTGATGAATTACAAGATTTGAATACTGACTACAGACCTTGCCACACACATCACATTTATATGGTTTCTCTCCGGTATGGATCCTCTGGTGTCTAATGAGATGTGAGATGCGGTTAAAGGATTTGTCACACTCATTACATTTGTAAGGTCTCTGCCCAGAATGAATTCTCTGATGATTGGTGAGATTTGAGCTTCCTCTAAAAGTCTTTCCACATTCATTACATTTATAAGGTTTCTCTCCAGAATGGATTCGTTTATGTCGAGTAAGGCTTGAATACTCAGAAAAGGCCTTGCCACACTCATTACATTTGTAAGGTTTCTCTCCCGTATGAATTTTCTGATGCCGTGCAAGATTTGAATTTTGACTACAGCCCTTGCCACATATATTACACTTGTATGGTTTCTCTCTGGTATGGATTCTCTGATGTCTAGTAAGTTTTGCAAATTGGGTAAAGGCTTTGCCACACTCATTACATTTGTAAGGCTTCTCTCCTGTGTGAACTCTCTGATGAATTATAAGATTTGAATGTTGACTACAGACCTTGCCACACACATCACATTTATATGGTTTCTCTCCGGTATGGATCCTCTGGTGTCTAGTGAGGTGTGAGATGCGGTTAAAGGATTTGTCACACTCATTACATTTGTAAGGTTTCTGCCCAGAATGAATTCTCTGATGATTGGTGAGGTTTGAGCTTCCTCTAAAAGTCTTCCCACAATAATTACATTTGTAAGGCTCTGCATTACTATGTGTTTTTTGATATGTAAGTAATGGATGATGAATAAAAAGTTTCCCGGATTTACTACAAATGCTAATGTTGATGCCAGAAGGAATTCTTTCAAGTGGTGAAGCAGAACTACTGTTGATCAACCTCTCAACTTGATAACGTGCATAAATTTTCTCTTTAGTTTGAAACTTCTGAAGGTCAGTCATATGTGACTGAAATCTTAATCCAATTCCATTTTCAAAACATTTTATATATTTGTTTCCTGTACACATTATGTTATTTTTTAGTTTTAACAAATATCTTTTATATGACTTCTCATATTTGTAAGATTGATAAGTACTTTTTCTTACAGAAACATCCTGCTTTAGAGGGAAAATATTCCAGGATCTGTTATGCTGTTGATCTCCTCTACCAGTGAAATTATGGTTATGGGCTGCAGTTACTCCTTTGTAATTTGTTTCATTATATCCATACTGACTCTCAAACTCATGCATATTTTGCTGGACCTCTCTGAAACCGAAATCTTTGATGTCATTTTTTTTGTGTCTTTCCAACATCAATGTTTGGAATAATTCTTCTTTGTTAATATCCTCTTTTGCTGATAATTCCTTAATCACACTTCTAACAGAAGTATCTGAAAGATATAAAGAACCATAGGTTTCCTATTAACTAGAGTTGTAAAAGGAATATTTTACCTTGAAAACATAATATTAGGCCAAAACTAATTCTTAAATAGTTATAAAACTTCTCAACCAATGTATGCAACTATTTAGGAATACAAGGGGAATCAGATTCCTCAATTAAGAAGGAGTGATTACACATAGATAAAATTATTTTCAGGAAAGCCTACTTCCAACACCCTATGATCAAAACACTCAGAGTACTTACATAGGCCCTGAAACAAGTAGTATCTTTCTGTTGCCACCTCAAAGTCCTCACCATTTGGCAGTAGACATTTGGGTGTCTCATATTTGAAAAAAAAGCAGTATTATATTAATGCATATACACTGTAAAGGTACCTAACTATTTAGGTACAACAATAAAGGGTAAAGCAAAGGATTCAATAATATAATGATAAATAATATCTTATTTTTTATGCTTATTTATTTTTGAAAGAGAGAAAACACAAGCAGGTGAGGGGTAGAGAGACAGGGAGACACAGAATCCAAAGCAGGTTCCAGGCTCTGAGCTGTCAGTACAGAGCCCTACGCCGGGCTCGAACTCACAAACCACAAGATCACAACCTGAGCTGAAGTTGGACACTTAACTGACTGAGCCACCCAGGTGCCCCAATGATAAACAGTATTTTAACAAACTTCTCTAATAAATAAATGGCAATTCACAATTATAAAATTAAAATAGCAATAAATACATTGCCACATTCATTACATTTGTAATGTTTCTCTCTCCCCATGCAAGACTTGAATTTTGACTACAGTCCTTGCCACGTATATTACACTTATATGGTTTCTCTCTGGTATGGATTCTATGATGTCTAGTAAGTTTTGCAAATTGGGTAAAGGCTTTGCCACAGTCATTACATTTGGCTTCTCTCCTGTATGAATTCTCTGATGAATTATAAGATCAGAATGTTGACTACAGACCTTGCCACACACATTACATTTATATGGTAAACTCGATAAAAAAAAAATTCTAAGAATAACAAAATATTGTTCTGAATTTCTATAATAAAACTATCTATATTTGTGCAGACATTAACCACTGGTGCATGACAGTCATAATATATAATACATATTGTAAATTATCTGTAATTTCTGTAAATCATAATAAAAATGAATCTAACATTTTAGAATCTGTATTATCTGTAAATTATCTGTAAATCATAATAAAAATGAATCTAACATTTTAGAAACCCACAATAAATCTAGGAGATAAATAATAAGCAAATGCAATTAGAAACCATTTTAATCTGTGGCATTCTAAAGACCTCTCTCTTCCATCAGAACAAAGAAAAGGCCTCCTATTCCAGAAAGACTACATAATATGAGAATTGCAGTGAGATGTTCTACCACTGAGCTATACCCCCACCATAATAGGAGAATTGAAACATAGATTAAGAACCCCTGACTTTTTAAATAGTTGGTTCACGTATATACATATTTTAAGACAAAGAATTTGGGAAGGTGATCAGAAATCAGAATTATGATTTCATACTTGCAGTTAACTAACAACCAATACAGCTGTTTCCTAACTAAGAAGCAACCGTTAATTATGCAATTCTGCAGTCATGAAAAACATGTACTAGAGTATGTGCCTTGAAAATTCACTAAGGCAGAGACAACACTGAGACAAAACAAATTACAAAATAAATACAAACAATATACTGTAGGCAAAGGTCAATCACATAAGAAAAGATTAAAGAATATTAGTAAACAAAGGTAAATTTTCATTCCTTGCTATATGCTATACAAAAATCAAAATCTTCTAACAGAATTAACATATTTAATATTCTTGAGGTAAATCATCACACTACTTCAGGTAAAAACAATGGGCCCATGGTGTTTATGTATCCAGTACTAATTCTCATAGAAAGTAAATGTGAAAGCAAAAACTTGAACCTGGGCCTGAAAGCTCAGAGCACATGTTCTTGAGCATTAGACACCACTGCCCACTCCAGGAAGTGAGCACAGAGCACAGGGCATAATAAATCCCACCAACCTGCAGAGAAATGCTTCAAGAAAACTACAGGAATTGAGTTGTGTTACTAATATGGTTACTGACTCATCCCTCCTGGATAACAGCATCTGAGTCATCACTCCTTAAATGTGTTGATTTACAGAGTGACCAGGTGTCGTGCTATCCTGAGCAAGCTGGCCTCTGGAAGAATAAGGATCTTTATACAATGTGGGAGATCTTTATACAATAGGGTTCTCTGAGGAGACTTGGGTGTCCAGGGGCTCAACAATAATATGCTAAGGAAGGAACAGTATGCCCCATCCAAATCAATGAACGATCTAAGGAAAGGTACAAGAACAGACTTATGCTTGCGAATTTATGTGAATACAATTGTGCTGGGACAGTACAAACCTTTATCTTAGAAAATTACATGAACTGATTTAGCAAGTGGCACAATATTGACCTAATCTTTGGGAAATGTACTATGAGTGTGGGGCAGGGTTGGGGCAGGGAAGAATGGAAGAGATTAGAAAGGCAGTCATCTGATACAGTGGGAGGAATATAGGTTTACCTTCTATTCTAATATTTGCCTTAAAATTTATCAAATTGAATATCCTTGGCTTTCTGTTTATAAGCATATACTCAAAAGAATTCTACATACATATTACATCAGGCATGTACGATAATGTTCTTAACAGGTATCAAAAGCAAAATTTGTAGGGCGCCTGGGTGGCTCAGTCAGTTGAGCATCTGACTCTTGGTTTAGCATCAGGTCATGATCTCACAGTTCATGGAAATGAGCCCTGTGTGGGACTTTGCACTGACAACATGGAGCCTGCTTGGGATTCTCTCTCCCCATCTCTCTCTGCCCCTCCCTCATGCTCGATCTCTCTCAAAATAAATAAATAAACATTATAAAAATAAAAGCTAAATTCTGGACATGGCCATCAAGGGGAGAATGGATGAATTCACTCCAAGTACACAAGCAGATGCAAAGAAAGTCTGTCAAGAATTCAGCAATGGAGGGTGACGTGTGCAAGATGATGAATCCCTGGTAGGGAAGACAAAGAGTTTGTAGGGAGGAAACAAACTTAGCAACAGGTTTTTGTGAAGGTCTGAAGTTACAGGAGATATGGGTAGATTAGCTAAAAAAAAATAGATAGATAGATAGATATAGATAGCATACCAACCAAATTATTAATTACATATTTTGCAAACAGAAATTTACTAGGTTTGGCATGCTAGACTTTTTGAGGCTAAGTGTCCTTGTTTGTTATATAAAAATAAGAATGCTTCTTTTGCAGCCTCCTCTAATTATCTGAAATCATACATTTGGATCTCTTCATACAACTGTTGGCATAAAGAGACATCAGGTAACGGACGCTCTTATTATATGTATTGGTGGATATTTGGTTATTATGAATCAGTGGAAATTATGTGTACTTAGCCAAAATTAATAAATTCTGATTTCATTAATAATCATCACAACCTAGGCAACCTCAAGAGGAAAATAACTTAGTGACTCACAGTGGGGAATGGATTCTACTGAAGGGCAATGTTAGTAACAGGTGACTGCTTTTGGAAGTGCCACACAGGAGGTAGATGTGCAGAGAGGTGGTCAGCAATGTAAGCAGTTGACAGGAGCCAGAGGACAGTAGAGTGCTGAAATGTGAGTCAACAAGGACCAGGCAAACTTTTTACGGAATCCCTTTTTACGGAATCCATTTTAAAAGATGAAGATCAAAACAGCCTTAAAGTGTTAAGCAAAAAATGTAATTTCCGGAACATGAAAAATTTGGTGGAAAATCCCAGGAGTTATATAAGCAACAGTGGTGAGGATGTACCTGGAGTGGAAGAGATTGGCTAAATTCCCAATAAGATACAATGAGACATTCAAATATTAGTTTAGTATACCAAGATATACATGATAAATCTAGACAGGAAAATTTATTATTAGAATAAAGCACTTGGGGGTGCCTGGGTGGCTCAGTTGGTTAGGAGACCGACTTCGGCTCAGGTCGTGAGCTCATGGTTCATGGGTTTGAGCCCTTCATTGGGCTCTGTGCTGACAGATCAGAGCCTGGAGCCTACTTCAGATTCCGTGTCTCCCTCTCTCTCTCTGCCCCTCCCCACTGGTACTCTGTCTCTCAAAAATAGATAAACATTTAAAAAACTAAAAAAGAAAAAAGCAACAAGCATTTGTAAAAAGTCAGTAAAATTCAAATAAAATTCAAGAAGTTGTATTTATCTATGTATGTACGTATGTATGTATTTTGAGAGAGCATGAACACGAATGGGGTAGGTGCAGAGAGAGGGAGAGAGAGAATCCCAAGCAGGCTCCATGCCTGGTGTGAAGCCTGATGTGGGGCTCAATCTCACGACTATTAAATCAATCATGACTTGAGCCGAAATCAAGAGTCTGATGCTTAACCAACTGAGCCACCTAGGTGCCCCCAAGGAGTTGTATTTAGAAAACTTAAATATACTATAAAAAAGCAATGTATCCTGTATAACAAATTGTAGCAAATCAATTTAATGGTTTCTGGGATGAACACAATAGACTGATACAAAAATATTTTCACAAGATATCCAATAGTCCCACTTTTTAAAATCCCATCAATTTGAGAAAAGGGTACTTTATTAATAGGTAAACCACGTGAAAGAGAAATAAGGGGACTAGGATAATTTTTTCACAAAATTAGGAGTTTGAATAGGTTTTGAGGAAACTGCGGCTGACCATAACTCTCAGACACTGAGAAGCAAAGCAAATCTTGTAAAACACATTTAAAAATATTCATTACTTGATCCAGCAGCCCACAAATCACAGATATAAAACAAAATTCTGAGTGTCATCAAAAATACATAATCAATGATTAAATTTTTGAAGTTCAGTTTTTTTCAATATTTATGAGAGAGAGAGCATGAGTGCGTGAGGGGGCAGAGAGAGAGGGAGACAGAATCTGAAGCAGGCTCCAGGCTCTGAGCTGTCAGTACAGAGCCCGATGTGAGGCTTGAACTCACAAACTACAAGATCACGACCTGAGCCAAAGTTAGACATTCAGCCGACTGAGCCACCCAGGTGCCCCTAAAGTTCATTTTTAATATGTACATAAAAATGTATATAATGAAAACTACTGTGGTTTAAGCATAATAAATTTGAATTTAAAATGGAGGCATAATATTGTACACCTAAAACTAATATAACATTGTACGTTTGATAGGGAAAATCTGTTGTAAGATGGCCGACAGGATTGATAAGAAAACACCTGTCCCTGATCAAAGACTCCCCCTTCCGGGTTCTTCTTCCCTCCCTGCTTGTCGCAGCATTAATGAGGAATGTGGAAGTAACAGGTTATAAATTATTCCCTCTGCTGATGCTCTGGGCTCAGCCCTTGGAGAATGATCTCCTCTGAGCCCACCAGTGTAAAATAAACCTCCTGCCTTCCAAGATCTCCGAGTGCTGCTTGGTTCTTTTGTTGGGTAATCCAGACCAGGTTCTGTAACATGTTAACTACACGAGAATTTTTTAAAAATGGAAACATCATTTAACTTCAGAAGTTCCCTCAAGATGTATCACAATCAGGGACGCCTAGATGGCTCAGTCAGTTAAGTGTCTGACTCTTGATTATGCCTTAGGTCATGATTTCATAGTTTCATGAGTCTGAGTCCCATGTTGGGCTCTGTGCTTACCTGGCAGAAGTTGCTTGAGATTCTCTCTCTTTCTCTCTCTCTGCCTCTCCCCTGCTCATGCTCTTTCTCTCTCAAAATAAATAAACTTAAAAAAAATCATATTTGTTTAAAGGAGAGTGAACAATGGTGCATGCAGGGGGGGAAACAATTTGACATGAACCACAGTTTGGCCAAGTTGTGACAATGTTTTCCTTAGGAAAAGTTCCTACACCTTTGATTGCTGGCTCAAGGGAATGATCATTAGATATGTGATCATCACCACACTGCCTTTGAGAGATACGGTGACACCCTACCAACAGCAGAAAGATACCTATTATCACTGATCAGTCGGGTTACCCTGACACTTTCCATGTCAGCATCCCTAGGACTTGCTGACCAATCCACCCGGTGGCATAAATGGGCACTTCTGTAAGTAGCAGGACAGCACTGTGGTATGTTAATCAAAGCGTTCTTCAAAAATTTTGTTACCCACTAAGCCCCCTCCATGGGTAAGTCCACCAGAAGTTGCCCATCATCGAAAAGTGGGTTATCACAGCAGATAAAGAAGCTATTTCAGACCCTAGGAAAGCAAGTTTCACAAGCAAGTTTAGCAAGTTTCACAAAACTGCAGAGACTCAGGAAAATACAAAATCTGGAAGAGCCCAGTTCCATCTGCATCCCTAGCCTAGGCAGAGCGCTGGAAGGACAAGGCAAGATAACAGAAGTAAAGGAATGGAGTTAGATCTCACAGGGCCTTTGAGAAGACTCAGGTATGCTCCCCATGTGGGGCTGGGTTTCAAAGAGACGCTCTCTCTGTCCACTGTCTTTACTGTACTGCTGACTAACAATCTCAGAAGACCCACACCAACCCCAGTGCCTGATTATACTCTTGATGTGTGGCCACAGCAGGTCAGACAAAATGGCTATGAGGACTTGAGACGGTCCCATGAAGCCTTGGGACGCCAAATGCAATGGGGGAGCAGCCAGTGTTTTGCTATCTTGTAAAAAGGTCTCCCAAACACAGGAACTGAGGACGAAACCTGGACAGGCCCTGGAGCCGGGGCTACAGAGGAACCGATGCATCGGATGCAATCAAGTACAGGAAGAGAGACCACTGGGAAAGAGGGCCCTGTGACACAGCCCTCCTCAACCCTCTCAAGGCCAAGGGACCAAAACGGTCACAGCCACCAGATAATAGAGTGTTGTAGGTCATGATAAAGACTCCGCCTTTGTCTCTGCATCAGCTGGAACACCGTCAGGGGTTTGGAGGATACTCCAACCGCATGACAGAGTAATGGGGAAGATTTCCTTCAGGTGCTCACAAGTGTTTTTCTTTTCCTACAAACCTCTCCTCTTTGGGGAGGGTTTCTCAGACAATATTTGACAAAGCAGCTTCGTCTCTGACCGTCTCAGCTGTTACCAGTGTTCACATTTGACACAGTGTCAAATGTGTCAAAATGTGGAAATAATATTCAGGCCAGAGAGATTCCTGCTTAAAAGAAAGGAAAGTTATGTGCCGGGGCAGGGGGAGGAGTTCAGAATATAATCCCAGCCCTTATTTCATCTGAGGCAGGAAGACATTACAGATGGGTCTACACTGATTTCATCCACTAACTGCCTCCTTCTGCTTATATTATATATATATATATATATATATATATATACACACACACACATCTAGCTCTCTTCTGAGAACTACGGAATCAAAAGCATGGGAGTAAAACCAGGGAACGCAATATTTTCAAATTTTGCTACAAGGTCTTGTGATTACTCAAGTGGTGGAAGCAATGCTAATCTAGTGAGAAGTGGGCAGATCATCTGAAGAAAGGTGGAGATGAATGTCCAGATAAACGTTCACCTCATAAAGTTTTCATTTCAGAGTCAATACAGCTCTGATCACAGCTAAGCAGAGCAGAGGCTCCCAAGAAACTCACTAGGGCAGATCCCAACATCTGGACGGATACTATCCTCACCCAGGGAGACCAGGTTCCTGTAGTTCTCCAGCATCACGTCCCTGTACAAGGCCCTCTGAGCAGGGTCCAGGCACTCCCACTCCTCCTGAGAGAATTCTACAGCCACATCCCTGAAGGTCAACAGCACCTGCAATGAAAAAGACCATGGGGAGGGTTCTTATCTTCACACAAATCATAAGAGAGAGATGTAAGGACTGATTTGGCTGTAGTGAGTATTTTGACACATCAGTAGAAGACAATTTTGAGCAAGTCATATAGCCCTAATTTTGTGTTATTATACTTCTCAAAGAGAGGACATAAATCCACAAAATCACTGTGCATTCTGCAATTTTGTGAACTAAATACACAAACTAAAAAATTCGTCACAAGGAGGACTATACATAAGGGCTAGATAGTAAGTACATTTTACACACCAATGACTTCTCTGATGAGCTATGCCACGAGTAGTGTCTTTACAGATTACAAAATTCAGAAACTTTTAAGAAAGTTTGCAATCCAAGAATGTGATGATGATTAGAACAACAGAGACAAAAAGTTTTTGAACATTTACAATATGCTAAACATTACTCAAATAGGCAGTATTTGGTGCAATAACATTAGAGAAATATCTGTTCCCGTCGTATAGAGGAGACAACTGCCACAGAGACTCTAAGAAACTTGCCTTGGGCCAAACAGCTAAGAAATGGCAGAGCCGGCACTGACATCAGGTGCTAGGAATTTAGAAGTGAACCTACGGAATCCACAGTTAAGTAACAGAAGCAGTATTAAAATTATAGTGAGGGGTGCTTAGGTGGCTCATCTGTTAAGCGTCCAACTTCAGTTCAGGACACGATCTCACAGTTCGTGGGCTGGAGCCCCACATTGGGCTCTGACAGCGTAGAGCCTGCTTCAGATATTCTGTCTCCCTGTCTCTGCCCATCATCTGCCCACATGTACTCTCTCTCTCTCAAAAATAAACATTTTTAAGAAAGTACATTGCTAGCGGGTTTTCTAAGTGAGAAAGCATGAAAAAACAAAGCTAAAAACATGGACCACCTTGGGGCGCCTGGGTGGCTCAGTCAGTTAAGTGTCTGACTTCAGCTCAGGTTATGATCTCACGGTTCATGGGTTCAAGCCCCGTGTCGGGCTCTGTGCTGACAGCTAGCTCAGAGCCTGGAGCCTGCTTCAGATTCTGTGTCTCCCTCTTCCCTGCTCACACTGTATCACTCTCTCTCTCAGAAATAAAAAAATTAAATTAAAAAAATATTAAAAAAAACATAGACCACCATATAATGTCATTATATATGCACACACATAGTACATTACTATTCTTACCACTATTCATTCACTAAGGAGTTAGTGTAGAAAAAATTTTAAGGCCATGAAAAGTATGTAAGAACAATTTTCAAAGGCTAAAATAAATATGAAAGTTATTTATGGGAGCTCCTGACTGGCTCAGTCAGGTAAGTGTCTGACTCTTGATTTCAGCTCAGGTCATGATACCACAGTTTCATGGGTTCAAGCCCCATGTCAGGCCTCTGCACTGGCAACTCAAAACCTGCTTGGGATTCCCTCTCTTTGCCCCTCCTTGTTCATGCTCTCTCTCAAAAATAAATAAATACACATTTTAAAAAAGTTATTTACATGACAATGTGTCTTTAATACACACCACAGGTTTCTTTTTTTCTTAACTTTTTTTTATTGTTTATTTATTTTTGAGAGAGAGAGAGACAGAGTGCGAACAGGGGAGGGGCAGAGAGAGATAGAAACACAATCCAAAGCAGGCTCCAGGCTCTGAGCTGTCGGCAAAGAGCCCAATGTGGGGCTTGAACTCACAAACCATGAGATCATGACCTGAACCAAAGTTGGACGCCTATCCGACTGAGACACCCAGGCACCCCTCACACCATAGGTTTCTGCTTGCATACATGCACACACACTTACACTTTCATTAAAAGCAGTCATCTCAGACAGATTTCGGGGATGAATTTTTTGAATCTATCATTTTTTTTTACTCATCTGTATTGCAGTATTTTTGGTAAAATGAACATTCAGAAATTGTACATTAAGTACAAGTAAAATTAATTTAATAAGGTTCTTGTCAACATTATTCTTATATTAACCTAGTTATTAAAAAATAGAAAACTTTCTTTTCCACTAAATATATATACGTAAATACCAAAATTTTGTCCATTTAAATGTCCATTTAAACATAAGCCAAGTGGAGTTTATTGAATAATAAAACAACGATTGAAGATTTTAAGATATTAACATTCTATATCAATTTATAGATTATGATAGAAAAATTTTTGAAAGCATTAGATTTTTGAAGATATTGGATAGTTAAAAGTCATGCTGAATAAAAAATTGGAAGTGTTATTAAGTAAGAAAATTCCAGTAAACATTGTGATTGTCAGTAAGCAGAAGCATATCCATTGAAATGGAAGCTAACATAAGGGATATTATGGCCTCTGCCATTCACCACTGCACACAGTGTTCATCAGGAACCATGTGGGATCCAGGCGTCTTCATTCAGAGAATGCTGTAATGAGTATCTCAAAGAAGAGATATCTCTATGTTTACTAGCATGAAAAACAACTCCAAGATCTGTGTCTGGAATAAAATATCACCATATAACATTCACTGAAGAATTTTAACTAAAATCAACTAATGCTGGTAAATGCATTTTTATAAGACTTGCACTTAATCTTGCGCAGAACTGACAAGTGATTAGAAAGTCGGTGAGTCATAATGGAGGGCATGGTGGGGAAGTAGAGGTTTTACTTCTTAGTCCAGAAGGTGAAACACAGTGGAGTTTTACCCCAAAACCAAGGTACAGAGCATGTGATGTTTAAAACAAATTGTTGTTCAGTAATAATTGGTGGTACCAGAATTTGCTTCCAGGCACTCTGATGACAAAGATCAAGTTTTCTGCTCCAATGGAATGGCTGAAACCTTTTTACCTAAAACACCTTGGGCACAAACGTCCGTGCATGAATAAGGGTTTCACGGGATGGATATGCTGTGAGTGGTTTTAAAGAACTTCTTGTTAAAACAAATTACACAATAAAACATCCTTTATCATTATGTTTCAGAACTTTCCATTCTAATCCAAATCATTACTCTCTTAGAGCCAGAAATAGGCCAATTCACGTGGTTGGTTTCAAACATCTCGTAAAATCAGGGACAACAGGTTTGCCCTCCTCAGTCTTCTTCTTCTTCCTTTTTTTCTTTTTAATTTAATTTAATTTAATTTAATTTAATTTAATTTTTTTTAAAACTTTTTAAAAATATTTTTATTTATTTCTAGGAGAGAGATAGAGAGAGAGCGTGAGCAGGGGAGGGTCAGAGAGAGAGGGAGACACAGACTCTGAAATAGGCTCCAGGCTCTGAGCTGGCAGTCAGCACAGAGCCCGACGCGGGGCTCGAACCCACGAACCGCGAGATCATGACCTGAGCGAAAGTCGGACGCTTAACCGACTAAGCCACCCAGGCGCCCCTTTTCTTTTTAATTTTAATGTTTGTTTTTGAGAGAGACAGAGTGTGAGTGGGGGAGGGGCAGAGAGAGAGAGGGAGACACAGACTCAGACGCGGACGCAAGACTCTGAGCAGTCAGCAGAGCCCGATGCGGGGCTCAAACCCACAGTGCGAGATCATGACCTGAGCCGAAGTCGGATGCTCTACCGACTGAGCCACCCGGGTGCCCCTCGGTCTTCTTTTCCAGCTGTTCCCACACATTCATACCGCACCCAAATGCGCAGTTCTTCATGCTGCTTTACGAGGAGCTGCAGCACATTCGTGTGCAACCCCCGAAACGATCCCCTTTGCCAACCTCACTGACACCAAAGGAACACTCCCACCTTCCGATCCAAACCTAAGTATGAAACCCTTCCCTCTAGCTGATGCCCCCCCAACAGGGCCTCTTCACAAGTTCCACGTCTCCGGGGCGCCAAGCTGGAGGGATGGAATCTAGGTGACGATGAGGGGCACCGAGGCAAGTTCTGTTCCAGCAAACGTTGTTAGGCAGGTCCCTTGAGAGAAGATTACCAATTTCAGTTAGAGAGACAGAGGAAACAACCAAGAACGTGACTGTTACCTGGGAACGAGTCATGTCGCCCTCCGCTTTCTTTCCTGCTCCTCGGGGCTTCCCTCTCGGTAAGCTCGGTCTTGAGAAGTGAGCCCTGAGTGCGGAAAAGAGGCTGTTTCATGCTTAGAAGGAACAAACCGCCTTCCTGTGACACAACCACACACGCAGGGAGGACCTCAACACGGGAAGAGACTGCTCTGCCGCCCGCGGAGGGGCTGGTGAGCAGAGCCGAGCAAGTGAGCTGGCTCTGCCCCTTTTCTGCAGAACTCCCCGGCCTGTGGAGAGGCCCGCGCGCTATGCTGCTGCTGCAGTGGGGCCTGGGCTGGACGGACGCTCCCCTCCAAGCCACACACCCTGCCCTGGGCCCCTCCCCTCCCCCAACCCCTTTCTAGATCGGGGACGGAGAACAGGCCAGGGAGCGCGCGAAGCCGCGGTCTCCACAGCACCGAGGGGCTGGAAGTGGAGCCGGACGCCCGAGCACCGGAGCGTCTCACGGCGACGCCGGGTCTCACCGTGAGCGGGAGGGCGAGGACGGTAGTTGTAACTGCCACAGAAACCCGGTGTGGAGGACAGGGGGCTGTGCTGCCTCGAAACACGGGTTTGATACTGGATATCCGAACTTCACTCACCTGAGCGTGTCTATCGTTCAGTCCGACTCACTTCCTGGTCTGAAGGAAACTGCGCGTGCGCGGGCTGGAGCGCCGTCTTGGGGGCGGGGCCTGGGCGGGGCCGCGTCTGGCGGAGAGCGGTTGGGACTGGGCAGGAGGCGCGCGGTGGGGGCGGGCCGGTGTGGGGGCGGAGCCTCGACGAGACTGGCCCGGCTCGGCTCCCGGCTGTGTATGGGTCTGCTGGTCCTTCTTTGGAGCAGAGCTGCCTCCTGCATGTTCTAAATTAATGTTTTTTCTTTTTGTAAAAAAATGTTCTATTTATTTCTAGGACAGAGAGAGAGACCGCGTGAGCAGGGGAGGGTCAGAGAGAGAGGGAGGCAGAGACTCTGAAACAGGCTCCAGGCTCCGAGCTGGCAGTCAGCACAGAGCCCGACGCGGGGCTCGAACCCACGAACCGCGAGATCATGACCTAAGCGAAAGTCGGACGCTTAACCGACTAAGCCACCCAGGCGCCCCTCTAAATTAATGTTTAAGGTAACAGAGTAGTTATAATGGCCGCTTATATTAGAAGCTGAGATGTTTTCCTCAAGTAGAGAATCACTAAATTGAAAAGCTCTTTGTGCCAGCTGGTGGAGATGTGCCTTGCGAGTGATGGACACTGGAATGACATCTCAGGAAAGAACTAAGAAGTATCATCGAGAGCTAGGACTTAACAACGAGTAAGAAGGATCTTCGTTTACATTTACTCTATTGCCACAGTTACTTGAATTTACCAGTTTGCTGTCACAACTTAGAAAAGATTCGGATTTGATATAGATCCTGAGTGTAATTATATGCTATATTGATGATATCATAAGAATATCAGAAACTGAAAAATAAGCTACGTGAAATTGATCTAAATGCATTAATGGCGCCAAAAGAGACTGGTTGTTAAATCCAGCAAAGATCTAGAGACTTGCCCAAATGGTGAAATTCTGGGTAGAAACCATCCATGACGTTCCACAGGTGACTAAAAATAAACTGGTATCCCTACCTACACCTAGAACGAAACAAGAAGCCAAGTGTTTTGCTGGTCTATTTGGATTTTGGAGAATGCATTTTCTACATCCAGGAATATTGCTTGCTCCTATCCATGAAACTATCCCAAAGAAGGCTATATTAAATTAAGACCTAACAAAGACATGCCATGTCTAGTTTGCAAAAGTAGTGTCTCTCAGTGTCTATGGATCCCTGTGATCCTTTAATAAACGATTTTGGAAGTGACTGCGACGCATAGTAATGAGGATTGTAAATAATGGTAAAAACCTTTGAGTGCCACCTAGTGGCGACCACTAAGATGTGGGACCAGAAAATTTTTGGATGCCAGGGTTAGCATACCATCTGAGTTACAGTTACTAGCTTGCTACTAGGTGTTAATTGAGATGTCCTTTGGGGCTAAAGAACATAAAATAATATTGAAACATGAAATTCTGATAATGTTTTGGACCATGTTGGAGAAACATTCTAATAAGGGATGAAGTGCCTATATTATAAGTGTTCCATAATAAAAAGGAAACCATTTTTACAGAGGTGTGCTGCAGGGGGGTGCAAGTATGCAGCCATAATATCCACAGCCGGTAGCCTCTTTTCTCTTAGGAACAATTTTAGCAACACCCAGCAACACCTGAGTTGCTGCCAGAACTTACTGCTGCTTGTTTTTGTGGATGGAAAGCTATTAAACTGAATAGGAGAAAACGATGGGCTTTTGATGACCAGTAGGCATCTTACAGTGGGTCTGATTCCCCTGGAAAACTGCCCCATCCTGAGCCTAGGAAGGCAATGGGAAACCCAATGACATACCTAAAATAATTTTATCTAGGTGTAACTACTATGCATTTAACTCTAGTTTGAGGGACTCAGCATTTTTGGATACAAAACATGTATCCGCCTCACATACACACACACATGTGGGTATTATTATTGTTGGTAGAGCTGCTATAAACATTGTGTGTCCCTTTGAAACAGCACAACTGTATCCCTTGGATAAATACCTAGTGCAATGATTGGCTCGTAGGGTAGATCTATTTTTAATTTTTTGAGGAAACTCCATACTGTTTTCCAGAGTGGCTACATCAGTGTGCATTCCCACCAGCAGTGCAAAAGAGATCCTCTTTCTCCACATACCATCTGTTGTTGCCTGAGTTGTTAATGTTAGCCATTCTGACAGGTGTGAGGTGGTAGCTCATTGTAGTAATGATTTGTATTTCCCTGATGATGATGATGATGTTGAGGATTGTTTCATGTGTCTGTTAGCCATCTGGATGTCTTCTTTGGAGAAGTGTCTGTTCATAGCTTCTGCCCATTTCTTCACTGGATTATTTGTTTTTGGGGTGTTGAGTTTGATAAGTTCTTTATAGATTTTGGATACTAACCTTTTATCTGAAATGTCATTTGCAAGTATCTTCTCCCATTCTATTGGTTGCCTTTTAGTTTTGCTGATTGTTTCCTTCACCGTGCAGAAGCTTTTTATCTTGATGAGTCCCAATAGTCCATTTTTGTTTTTGTGCCTCCAGACACATATTGAGTATGATGTTGCTACGGCCAAGGTCAAAGAAGTTTTGTCTGTTTTCTCCTCTAGGATTTTGATGGCTTCCTGTCTTGTGTTTAGATCTTTCATCCATTTTAAGTTTATTTTTGTGTGTGGTGTAAGAAAGTGATCCAGGTTCATTCTTCTACATGTGTCTGTCCAGTTTTCCCAACACAATTTGCTGAAGAGACTGTCTTTATCCCATTGGATATTCTTTCTTGCTTTGCCAAAGATTCGTTGGCCATATGTTTATGGGTCCGTTTCTAGGTTCTCTATTCCGTTCCACTGATCTGAGTGTTTTTCTGCCTGTATCATACTGTCTTGATCATTACAGCTTTGTAATACATCTTGAAGTCTGGGATAGTGATGCTTCCAGCTTTGGTTTTCTTTTTCAGGATTGCTTTGGCTATTCGGAGTATTTTGTGGCTCCATACAAATTTTAGGATTGTTTGTTCTAGCTCTGTGAAGAATGCTGGTGTTATTTTGATAGGGATTGCCCTGAATATGTAGATTGCTTTGAGTAGTATTGACATTTTAACAATATTCATTCTGCCAATCATGAGCATAGAATATTTTCCCTTTTTTTGTGTGTCTTCAATTCCTTTCATAAGCTTTCTATAGTTTTCAGTATATAGATTTTTCACCTCTTTGGGTAGGTTTACTCCTACGTATTTTATGGTTTTTGGTGCAATTATAAATAGGATTGATTCCTTGATTTCTCTTTCTGTTGCTTCATTATTGGTGTATAAAAATGCAACCGATTTCTGTGCATTGATTTTGTATCTTGTGACTTTGCTGAATTCATGGATCAGTTCTAACAGTTTTGGGGGGGAATCTTTTGGGTTTTCCATATATAGTATCATGTCATCTACAAAGAGTGAAAGCATGCCCTCCTTCTGGCTGATTTGGATGCCTTTTATTCCTTTGTGTTGTCTGATTCTGAGGCTAGGACTTCCAGTACTATGTTGAATAACAGTGGCAAGAGTGGACATCCATGTCATGTTCCTGACCTTAGAGGGAAAGCTCTGTTTTTCCCCATTGAGGAAAATATTAGTGGTGGGACTTTCATATATGGCTTTTATGATCTTGAGGTATGATCCTTCTATCCCTACTTTTTTGAGGATTTTTATCAAGAAAGCATGTTTACAAATGCTTTATCTGCATCTATTGAAAACATCATATGGTTCTTGTCCTTTCTTTTATTGATGTGATGTATCACATTGATTGTTTTGCAAATATTGAACTAGCCCTATATCCCAGGTATAAATTCCACTTGGTCGTCGTGAATAATTCTCTTAATGTATTGTTGGATCCAGTTGGCTATTATTTTGTTGAGGATTTTTCATTCATGTTCATCAGGGAAATTGGTCTGTAGTTCTCCTTTTTAGTGGGATCTTTCTCTGGATTGGAATCATAACCCCTTTTTCCCCATGATCTGTTCCCTTTTAACTCACTTATTTCCATCATATTTGTAACACTCATCCACCCAGCATACATCTCCAGTTTCCTGAACTTTCTGGCACACTTTGCTCATTGTGCTCTTGAATCCTGCCCTTCAACACTGTAACTTCAGCCTTCTTGTGTCTTTTAACCTCTTTCCTCTCTATCATTCCTTCCATGTCCTGTGCTGTCTGCACTGTTACTGCATACCCCTTCCCTTGCTCTCACTTTACCCCTCTCTCCCCAACTCCCCTTCCCATCCCTTCACATGCGCATGTGCATGGTCACTCCCTGATATCACTGCTTTGCAGCTATGTGCCTTGAACTGAAATGACAGTGCTCACAGCAGATTTGAAATGTTGTGCTTCCTTGTTGGGATGAGCACTAGGTGTTATATGGAAACCAACTTGACAATAAACTATTAAAAAAAAAAGAAATGTTGTGCTTCATAGATACCCTCTTTACAGGTTGGAGAGATGGAAAGAGTAACAAAGTTGAAAAGTGCCCTTTTTGGGAGCATCTAGTGGTGAGATGAAACTATTTTCCCATATATGAACATCTTATCCAGATACACACACACACACACACACACGATGATGATGTGAATGTGACTTTGTGTAGCTGTGTGTCATAGGGTGTACAAATGCAACTGTGTGTTCATATGTGTTGAACTGTGGAGGAGTCTGAGTTTATAAAGCAAAGTCTATGTAAGTGTGTACGTGGTTAAGTATGTGAGGATGTGTGACTGTATTTGTGTGGGTGTACATGCACATGTGTGTTTACATATTTATGTAAGGGTATAAATCAGAGTGTATGTGTGTGTGTGTGTGTGTGTGTGTGTGTGTGTGTGTGTGTGTGTACCACCATTATGGTATTAATCCATGACTCTAAAATTGGGGGTGCATTAAATACTGAATGTGGATCATAGTGGACATTTGTTTGTAGGAAAAAGCAATGGACTAATTAGAACTCATTGTTCATTAATTATGGAAGAAGACAAGTCTTCTTATGAAAATTGAGCAAAGAAATAAATAAGAGAAGGAGACTGGTAATCAGTGTTCTAGAATTGAGGAAGTGACATTGGCTTATCTCATAGTTGAAGGAATTGTAAGAATTATCTGTACAAATCATCTGATCCTGCCTGTAAAGCCATGCTTTATTAGTGAAGAGTTCATAAACTTCTGTCTTTCAATGGATTTTGTTCTATTTATAATTCATATCCCTATTGGAGGTTATAGGGAAGCATGAATATGGAGAGAGTTCATATTGCTATAAAATTTCCAAATCACCTAGACTTCCAAATCAATTGCCATTGGGTTGTGGGTTTCTAGTCCAGAGGTTTCCAGTGAAAATTGTCTTCATGTGTTTCCTTGACATCTGTCACTTTCAAAATCCTTCTCAGGTATGTCATCTGTTTCCACTGCTCTACCATTAATTAAATGATGGTGTAGCTTAGTGGTCTGAAGAGTAATACAGAACTCTCTTTGCAGGGGGGAGAAAAAAAACTTTTCTGGAGAGCAGAGAATCCAGTGAGACACATGAGCTTCCCCTGCCAGCTTCTCACATGTCAGAATTTCTTTCTCCTTCCATCTGATACCCTGTCTGTCTCCAGGGATAAAAGGAAGAGCCTCTTCCAAACTCTATAATGATCTCTTTGGAGATGATACCTACAAACTTGTAATTGCTTTTTTGGTAATTAGCAACTGAGGGGAAAAAGAATTTGTCACAAATATTCCTAGTTTGCCAAGCATGTTTTTTCCCTGCAGCTACAGGTGAAGAAATTGTTGCATTTCCACAGGGAGGTGATGTTACAAAACCAGACATATATCTAGTGGTCTGATCGCCTCCCTGTCCCATATGCTGGCTGTTGCAATTGTCACTCTGACCTCCATGCTGGTAGCCAGAGGAAGTCAGGTGAGTATTTTCTATTTTGGTCTAAGAGGTAGGGTCTGCAACCAAGGAATGGTATCAGGGGTCTGGGTAAGCGATCATCTTGGGAAAAAAAGATTCTTCTGTGTTTCAACCTGGTCCAGAGCCAAAGCCACATGGGAAGGAAGCATAACTCTCAGGCTTGAAGTGAACTAGTAAAGAGAGAAGGGGTTGTAGACCTTCACCATCTCTGATGGCTCCTGATGTGTTTACTGTAATCTTCACTGAAAGTGACTATTGGTATTTTAATCAAGTGATTTGGAAACCTGGTTTCCAGTGCTTAGGACTCAACTACCAGAATCAATCTGTTGTTCCTGCTATCTAGCAGGATTCATAGACTAAATTCTCAGGATATCCAGAGGTGCCTGTAACACTTCTGTGTTGTAATAATTAAAAAAAAAAAAAAAAGTGGGATGAAACCAAAGAAATCCTCTAACCTTGTGCAGAAAGGGTACTTCCAAATGGTAAATGCAAGAGTAGAAAGGCTTTCTACTTTCTACTCTTTGAGTATGTTAAGTGCTTAATAAAGACAGTGATTGTTTCCTATTAAGAAGCAGCAAGAAAAGTAATGGTAATAGAATAACAATTGGTTTCAGATAGTGGCTTTAGGCACAATGTATCTGTTGATGTACTCTCTGATTTAAAAGTAATCTCAAGGCCACCTGGGTGGCTCAGTTGTTTGAGTGTCTGACTCTTGATTTCCGATCAGGTCATGATCCCAGGGTTGTGGAATTGAGTGCAGTGAGCACCCTGCACTGAGCCTGCTTAAGATTCTCTTCCTATGCCCACCTCCCCTGCTTACACACTCTTTCTCTCAAATTAAAAAAAAAAAAAAGAGTTATCTAATATGAATCATAAACTCTATAGTTTCAACTTATAAAATACACATACATCACACCCTTGAGATTCTGTTTTGAAATGAGTATATTTTAATAGTTCACAAATCTTGCCTTACTGTTAGTACTTTTTACTTTAGTCATATTTTAATAAACACATTAGCTTCTGATTTGAAAATGCTAATATTTAGTTTCTACCTTACATGATTTTATCACATCTTTTGGTTCATGTCCCACAGTTCAGGAACTGACATCATGTTAAATGATTCCTGTGAAAGGTGTCATTTTGCTCCCTGCATAAAAGCACATTAGTATTTCTGTTGCCATCCCAGAATAGAGCCAATTGTACCTTCTTTAAAGATAATTTGTCATATCCACTGAAGAAATGGGCTAACAACATGAACAGACACTTCTCCAAAGAAGACATCCAGATGGCTAACAGACACATGAAACAATCCTCAACATCACTCATCAACAGGGAAATACAAATCAAAACCACAATAAGCTACTACCTCACACCTGGTTAAAATGGCTAAAATCAACAACTCAGGCAACAACAGATGGCTGGTGAGGAAGTAGAGAAATAGGCTCTCTTTCACACTGCTGGTGGGAATGCAAACTGGTGCAGCCACTCTGGAAAACAGTATGGAGGTTCCTCAAAAAATTAAAAATAGAACTACCCTACGAGCCAGTCATTGCACTAGGTATTTATCCAAGGGATACAGTTGTGCTGTTTCAAAGGGACATATGCACCCCAATGTTTGTAGCAACTCTACCAACAATAGCCAAAATATGGAAAGAGCCCAAATGTCCATCAATGGATGAATGGATAAAGAAGATGTGGTGCATATATACAATGGAGTATTACTTGGCAATAAAAAGAATGAAATCTTGCCATTTGCAACTACGTGGATGGAACTAGAGGGTATTATGCTAAGTGAAATTAGTCAGAAAGACAAAAAGCATATGACTTCACTCATAAGAGGACTTTAAGACACAGAACAGATGAACATAAGGGAAGGGAAGCAAAAAGAATATAAAAACAGGGAGGGAGACTCTTAAATATGGAGAACAAACAGGGTTCCTGGAGGGGTTGTGGGAGGGGGGAATGGGCTAAATGGGTAAGGTCATTAAGGAATCTACTCTTGAAATCATTGTTGCACTATATGCTAACTAACTTGGATGTAAATTTTAAGAAATTTAATTAAAAAGTTTATTAAAAAAAGATAACTTGTCATAATGCATTCCCTGACAGAATTATACTATAATTGATGTATCAATATTTTATTATGAAATCTATATCTATAATTTGTAACAGCCTATACACATAAATGGAATCTTGTCACAACAAAATGGTAAAACAAAGTAGAATCAATCTAAAATAAGAAGACAAGCTATGAAAATGAATAAATATTCATCTGTATTCTTCAGGAACACAGCTAAGTAGTTATGTTAGAATAGTTTAGTGGGTTTTTTTTTTTTTAATGTTTATTTTTGAGAGAGAAAGAGAGTCTGGGAGAGGGGTGGGTCAGAGAGAGGGGGACAGAGGATAAGAAGCAGGCTCGTGCTGACAGCAGTGACGACAGCGCAGAGCTGGAACTCCCAAACCTGGAGGTCCTAAACTCAGCTGAAGTCCGACACTCAACGAAATCAGCCACCCAGGTGCCCCAGAATAGCTTACTGTTTAAATGCACGGCCTTTGGGCACCTGGGTGGCTCAGTTGCTTAAGCATCGGACTTGGTTTCAGGTCATGATCTCATGGCTCATGAGTTTGAGCCCCGCGTCAGCTCTGTGCTGACAGCTTCAAGCCTGGAGCATATTTCAGATTCTGTGTCTCCCTCTCTTTCTACCTGTCCCTCGTTTGCACTCTCTTCCTTTTTCAAAAATAAATAAACATTCGGGGCGCCTGGGTGGCTTAGTCGGTTAAGAGTCCGACTTTCACTTAGGTCATGATCTCACGGTTCGTAGGTTCGAGCCCCGCGTCAGGGTCTGTGCTGACTGCCAGCTCAGAGCCTGGAGCCTATTTCAGAGTCTGTATCTCCCTCTCTCTCTGACCCTCCCCTGCTCACGCTGTCTCTCTCTCTCTCTCTCCTAGAAATAAATTAAAATATTTAAATAATAATAAATAAATAAACATTGAAAAAAATTTAATACACTTTTTACCAGCCACGCCAGGTCAAGTCCACCCTTTGCCCATAATATGGCTTACATTTAGATCATTAAACTTTATCTGTCCAAGCGCTCCTTATTTTTCCAATAGAAATAATGCTACTGCCTGTCTCATAGCGTTATGAAGAGCACAGAATTTATTACAGGTATGGCCTCATGGGAGTGACTTGTGTTTTGTGAAAACTCTTCAAAGCTGATGTATTCAGGGACACGTAGGTGGCTCACTCGGCTAAGCAACTGACTTCGGCTCAGGTCATGATCTCACAGTTCGTGGGTTCGAGCCCCATGTCAGGCTCTGTGCTCACAGCTCAGAGCCTGGAGCCTGCTTCAGATTCTGTATCTCCCTCTCTCTCTGACCCTCCCCTGCTCACGCTCTCTCTCTCTCTCTCTCAGAAATAAATAAAAACATTAAAAAATATATAAAAAAACAAAGGTGATGTATTCACCTCTTAAAAACATGTAATAAGAAACATTAAGTAAATATTTCTAAGTACAAACTAAGTTAAGTGGAGAACACTGAATTCCAGCCTACATGACATGTGCCTCATGTCTCCTGTTCCCATGCAGGAATCTGGCTCAGAAGAATTTCACTCCTTGGGATTTTACAGAATGGCCACCAGTGATTTGGCAATGGTAATGATCTTCTTATTACAAACTATAGTTGGACTTCTGGGGAATTTTTATCTTCTTTACCATTATCTCTTACTTTCTCTAACAGGATGGGGGTTCAGGTCCACAGATTTGATCCTCAAGCACCTGACTGTAGCCAACTCCTTAGTCATTCTCTCTAAAGGAATCCCCCAGGTAATGACAGCTTGGGGGCTGAAAGACTTCCTCAATGATACTGGATGTAAATTTGTTTTCTATGTTCACAGAGTGGGCAGAAATGTGTCCATTGGCTCCATCTGCCTCTTGAGCCTCTTCCAAATGATCATCATCAGTCCCAGGGATTCCTGGTGGGGAGGGCTAAAAGCGAAAGCTTCCAAGTACCTGGGCACCTCCAACCTCCTCTGTTGGATCCTGAACATTATGCATAATATTATTATTCCTGTGTATATAACAGCCAAGTGGAGCCACCAAAATGTCACAAAGAGAAAGAGTTATGACCCCTGTTATTCTAGAGGTCATGACTACATAGCACAGCCACTGCATTTAGCATCATTATTATTCCATGATGGCTTCTGTTTGGGGATTGTGATCTGGACCAGTGGCTCTATGGTTTTAATTCTGCACAGGCACAAGCAGCGGGTCCAATACATTCATAGGAACAATCTCTCTGCCAGATCATCCCCTGAGACTACAGCCACCCAAAGCATCCTTATCCTCGTCATCACCTTTGTGTCTTTGTGCATTCTCTCCTCCATCTTTCACAATTGTACAGTGATTTTTGACAATCCCAGCTGGTGGCTGACGAACACCACTATACTAATCACCTCATGTTTTCCAACTATAAGTCCTTACCTCCTCATAAGCCATGACTCCAGGTTGTCCCGGTTCTGCTTTGCCAAGAAAGGAAATACAAAATTACTTAAATTTATCATAAATATGTAAATTATATACATATTCACAACAGTTAGCTTTTTAGTTATTAATTCATTTGACAGTTTAATCACAATCCTGAAAGTCATATTGCAAGAGGGTGATAAACGACACAGACTTGGCTTCAGTGCAAAATGAGTAAGTGGAATGCAATTATAAATGAAGTATTATGTGATTATCACATTAATACAATGTAATATAAGTGTCTTAATATTTGAAGTGAGGGGGTTTGAAACCCATGTAATATTTAAACAACAGTTCCTGAAACAATCTGGAGATTATGAACTCATTGAGCATGTAACTTTCAATGTGATATAATAAATTTTCTCCAAAATTAACTAGTTATGGGATTATACGACAAATTCCCTAAGCTAGGGACACCATTTGATGTGGCCCTTCAATATACTGAAGACAACAAAATTTCCACAGAATAATGGATAACCTGGAGTTAAGCTGGAGAGTAAATTCGTTTTCAGAGAATGGAGGCATCAGGAGCCAAGTATGAGTTTGGTATGTCACACTCTTGTAGAGATGTTAATCATTTGAAGTCTGATGTTTTGAAGGGAGATTTAAGCATTTTCTTACAGAAGGACCACATTGACCTCGTGTAGGTTAGGGAAGAGCACAAAAGTATGTTTTGCTGTTTTCAAGTGTTGACTCGTAAAAAACACATGTTGTATGGGATAAAAATGCATAGATTTGGGGATCTGTGGAAGTTTCCTCTTGATCTATTATGCAAAGATGCCATTAAGGCATGTTGGCAAGAAGCAGCCTCCATGGTACACTCTCTGGTTTCTTGGGTGAGGAAATAAGTTTATTTAGGGAACTTTCATTAAACTTGAGTAGTGGGGGAGTAGCCGTTGGAAGAGTAAGTCATGGATCCAATTTGTTAATTTGGAGTTTTTGTGTGAGGTTGTCAAAAGATGAGAATGGACATGTCCTTAATTTTGGGAAATATTTTAATGTAGCTGTCTGTACATATAAAGTTGATGTAAATATTAATGATTCAAAATTCAAAAAGCAAAAGAATTAGTTTGATCTAATGGACATATATTGACCCCTTTGCCACAAAAAATAGAGAAATGCATTTTTTAGCCCATGTGAAACACAGAGAAATATTTACCATAATTATACCACAAGCAGTATGTAGATGGATAGATATAACATATCAATATTTGTGCATATATATGTGTAAGTTTTTATATGTGTATAAGTTTGTGTATATACATGTGTGTATATATGTACATATATGCTCATATAAAATAAGTTATTTTTCTGTCAATAATATTGGAAAACTAAATTGAAGAATAAATATAATACTAATTATAATGTTTTAACTGTAAATTATATATTATCTGATCCCTCCATCCTAGTGGTTTAATTGGTAAAAGTTACATAGAATACATTTTTAATTTTTCAATTTTAATCCTTGACTTATCTATATCTCTGGAAAATAAAGCCAGTTGGATATACTAAGAAAATGTTTGACTTTATTAGTTGTAATTTGTCTTTTATGGTTAATGTAAGAGCGGATATATCTAGAATTGGATTTATCAACTTTTTATATGCTCTTTATTACACCTGTTCTATTTTCTTATCTTTTCTCCATTATAATTTAAAAAAATATTTTAGAGAAAGAGAACAAGTGCGTGAGCTTAAGCAGGCTCCAAGCTCAGTGTGTAGATGGAGTGGGGCTAGGTCCCACAACTGAGATCATGACCTGAGCTGAAATCTAAAGTCAGATGCTCAACCAACTGAGCCACCCAGGCACCCCTGTATCTATTTTTTAAAATAACTCTGTATTTTGTACCCCCTTTTGGAGTATGTGTAATTACTGAGAAAATTATATAGAATATGTTTTTCTTTTTTCAATTTTAATTCTTATATTTAACTGTATCTCTTAAAAAATACTCAATTACATATAGTAAAATATGTTTGACTTTAATGAGATTAATCTCTTATGTTCAGTATCATATTAAATGTATTTCCAATTGCATTTATCAATCTATACTATGTTCTTCATTACACCTATAGTCTGTCTGTTCTTAGTTTGCCAATTCCAACTTCTGCATTAATTTTAAATAATTCTACATTGTACCTCTCTTATCTTGGAGATCATATATTTAGTATTTCTTAGTTTTTAATGTAGAAATTACAGTATACTTTAAAAAAACAAGTCAGAACTGGGCTCTGTGCTTTCAGAGTAGAATCTGCTTTGGAACTTCTGTCACACACTCTCTCTCTGGCCCTCCCCAACTTGTATTCTCTCTCTCTCTCAAAAATAAATAAATAGTTTTTAAAAACTATTCAGAGTGTAGTTATTTAATACATCTACTTCTACCTGGACAATATGATGGCAATGCAACACTAATAGATTAACTTTCACTCAATTTGTTTTTGTTTATATGCTGTACATTACATGATCAGGACTTATTTATTTTATAACAAGAAGTCTGTACCTTTCAACCACCTTCACTTATTTCACCCACAAGGGGTAGCCCTTGTCTCTGGCAACCACTAATCTATTCTGTATATTTATGAGTTCAGGCTTTGTTTGTTTGTTTTAGATTCCAGATATAATTGAGATTATATGGTATTTGTCTTTCTTTGTCTGACTTATTTCACTTAGCATAATGCTAATGGACTGCAAATTTCATCTATATTGTCACAAATGGCAAGGTTTCTTTCTTTTTAATGGCTGAATAATATTCACATATATACTGCATCTTCTTTATCCATTCATCCATTGATGAACACTTAGGTTGTTTCTATGTCTTCACTAGTGTAAATAATGCTGCAGTGAACACAGGAGTGCATATATCTTCTTGAGTTAGTATTTTGTGTTTCCTTTAAATAAATACCCAGAGGTAGAATTGCAGAATATGGTAGTTTCATTTTTAATTTTTTGAGGAACCACCATATAATTTTCCATAGTGGCTGCACCAATTTACATTCCCACCAACAATGCACAAGGGTTTCCTTTTCTGTCCATCCTTGTCAACACTTGCCATTTCTCATCTTTTTTATAATAGCCATTCTAATGGGTGTGAGGTGATATTGTGGTTTTGATTTGCAATCTCCTGATGATTAATAATGTTGAGCACCTTTCTTGTATCTGCTGGCCATCTGTATGTCTTCTTTGGGAAAATGTCTATTCAGATCCTCTGTCCCTTTTTACTTTTTTTTTTAATGAAAAATTTTAAATGTCTATTTCTATTTGACACAGAGAGAGAAAGAGAGAGAGACAGAGTGAGAGCTGGGGAGGGGCAGAGAGAGAGGAAGACACAGAATCTGAAGCAGGCTCCAGGTTCCAAGCTATCAGCACAGAACCCAATGGGGGGCTTGAACTCATGGACCATGAATTCATGACCTGAGCTGAGATCAGATGCTTAACCAACTGAGCCACCCAGGTGCCCCTCCTCTGTCCCTGTTAAAATCAGATTGCTTGTTTATTTGTTTTTGTTGTTGTTCTTGGTGTTTGTTATAGTCGTTGTTGTTTTTCCTATTGAGTTATATGTGTTCTTTATATATTTTGGATACTAACCCCATCAGATATATGGTTTGCAAATATTTTATTTCATTCAGTAGGTCGTCTTTTTCATTTGATGGTTTCCTCTGCTGGGCAGAAGCTTTTTAGTTTGAAGCAGTCTCATTTATTTATTTTTGCTTTTGTTTCTTTCTATGTCAAATCCAGAAACAACATGGAGGAACCTGGAGAACATTATGCTAAGTAAAATGAGGCAGGTACAGAAAGAGAAGCACTGCATGATCTCACTTATTTGTGGAACCCTGAAGAGTTAAACTCATAGAACAAAGACTACAGGTTTTCACAGACTCAGAGGTGGGAGAAATGAATAGATGTTGGTAAAATGGTACAAAGTTTCAGTTGTGCACATTGAAAACTTCTGAGGATCTAACATGAAGCATGGTGACTGTAGTTGATAATGTATTATTTGATATTTACACTTTGCTAAGAGAGGAGATATTAAGTGCTCACTACACACACAGAGAAAAGATAACTATGTGAGGTGATAGGTTTGTTAATTGATTTTATTTCATTAATCACTTCACAGTATGTATATATATACACACCAAAACATTGTGTTGTACACTTAAAATATAAACTATTGGTTTGTCAGACCTCAATAAAACTGGAGAAAAATAATTTATTTAAAATCTGTCTCATTATGGATAATTTTGTGAATAAGATATGTATTATACTTTGGAAACATTAAAG